GATCATTATACTTTTGCAGCCATAGTCATGTCATGCATACCACTCTAGCACCATAGTACAACACAAATACTATCTTGCTATAAATTATAATTAGTACTCTAGCATCATACCCACTACAAGATCCACTTACTTACCCTTCATACACACAATATGTACACTTATATTTGTTAGGTTCATTACAAAGCATACATATATGACCGTTGAAATCATAATAGCTGCTGGCTATGTCTCTTATGGTCAGGCCGCCGCCATTGTTTTGGCTTCGGTGGCGGCAGCTGCCACTTCTGGCGACTGGGTTTGGTCGTCTTTGGTCATGCCTGCACGCCTCTCTTTTCTTTCGTCTTGGTTCATTTGTTGCTCTCTACACTCTAGGCTACAAAATGCGGTATCACCCCTGCATAAGATTAAATCACGCGACAACGAAACTTGATTAAGTTTATAAGAATAACTTAGGGGGTGATTGTTTATGTTTTGAATAGTAAAAAATCTAGAATTTTTTAATTATGGTTATGTTTAAAAAAAAGTAGTATGGTTAGTTGTTAGTGGATATATTAAAATAGTATTTAAAATAAAATAGTTAAAGTTGATTTGATGTAAAAGTAAGAGAAAATGATTGGAAGTGATAGTTAAAAATTAGTTAAAATTATGTGAGTAGATGAATAGTGAATTAAAGTTGATGTGATATGTAATAATGATTTGTTGATGTTATTTAATTATATAATAATATTGGAGATAGTGAGCTTGAGTTAAAGTTGAGTTAAATTTGAATTTGAGTAAAAAAAATTACTATACAACTCATAAACAATCACCCCCTTAAGAAGCGACACAACAAAATTTAAAAAATATTGACGATCATTGATAAAATTATCTAGAAAAACAGGGGCCCCTCTAATTTTCTTTCCCTAATCAACTTATCTAGAAAATTAATTATTATATGTGAAAAATAAAATTCACTAATCAGTTATTTCATTTGAGGGAAATACTACGGTCCATTACAGAACCATTCCATCGGAATTTATAACCGTTGGAGATAGTTGACCCAACAACTACAAATTTCGAATGAAATGTTAGGTAACGAAACCGTAGCATCTCCCTGCATTTCATACTTCCCACCCTTTTTTCTTTATTTTTTTTTCCTGTACTTAAAAAATAAATAAATTAATTAATTAATTAGATTACCGATACATGTAGATATCACGGCCGGTGGCCAGCCGGCGGTGGCAGAGACCGCAGCTCCTCAAAAAATCAGCCGGCTCGGAATTCTCCCCGCCGCCGGAGAAGTTCTTCCCGAGGTACCTCGGCGACAGCAAGCGATAGTAGCCGTTGTCAAACTCCCCTCCGGCCATCACCGTCGCCTCTGGGATCCCGACGTCGAACGTGACCTCTGCCGTGCTCGCCGCCCTCCTGAAAGCCGGCCGGCCGCGCTTGCCCAGCGTCATGCTCGGATTTTTTTTT